AGTGCTGTTTAGGAACGGTAAGCTTTCGGATTTTGCCTCGAATGGTACACCATGGTAAACCTGATCGAACCCCATGATTTTTTCACAGATCTACATGCCCCAGTGTCTAGTTTCAGAAACTGAAAACCGCAAGTCTGTAGCATTCACCGTTAAAAAGTTATAAGCGAAATATCGGAGTCCATTATATTTTGATACAGATAGTAGTTAGTAGACAGTTAAGACTTTGGTGACAGACGAAAATAACTTTATTGAAAGGTTAACCCAATGTATGAAAGAGAAACTTAGTGTGTGCATTTAGTCTTTCATGATTTCGCATTTTTATCTTTTAGGTACTGTCGTTTTTATTCTTCATCACATTATCTAATTTAGTCTTTTTTCTGTTTTAGAGTCTCAGTCATTTGTTGACGAACTATTGTATTCTTCTGCCCTTTGCTTGTCTCTCTTCGCCTGTGTCACAAACGTCTTCTACACTTCTGTAACAGCTGCCATCTTGAAGAATCAAACGTTATAAAACTCAAGTCACATGATTCCTGAAAGAATCAATCAGACTTTTTTTCTTTGCAAGATCTTGAAACGAAAAATCATAGAAAAAGAATCCTTCACGAATTTATAAGATATAAGAATCCTTAAAGAATAATTTCAAGAACGTCGACTAGTGCATGAAAAACTTAAGCAAACGCATATCAAAAATTCTTTTTCTTTCTCTTATCTGACACGAGCAGAACACATCCATTTGGAGGAAAAAAGATGATGGACGTAGCTCAACAATATTTTGATCGAATATCTGGCACTGAACTCGTGTTAGCACTGGCTTATCTGATTGTTCCAACATCTTTTATTCTTCTTTTCCTCTATGCAACGACTCATGTTAAACAACGGTTAACTATGACCGTCTTCTGGTTTGTGTTGAGTGGGGTTATTCATTGTACGTACGAATTTTTATTTGTCTTCTCACGAAGTACTACTTATATCAGTGATGTTATGGATCTTTATGCGGCATCCGACAATCGTTATGGTCATCCACTTGAAGCTGGAACAGCATCAATGGAAACAATCACGGCGCTTGTCGTTGGTCCATTATGTATTATTTTGGCTTATTCGATTGTTAATGGGAAGAGCTATCGTTATCCACTACAAATAATCGTATGCACTTGCCAAATATACGGTTTGATTTGGTTTATCCTTCAACCAGAATTTACCGAAGGTGGCCTCTATTCAGTTGCGAGCAAAGATCCATTCTTATTTTGGGTATTATTTGTTGGTTTTAATTCACCATGGGCCGCCTTCCCTCCGATTCTACTATTCAAAGCATTTAAACATACTGCTCAATGTATATCCCGAAATGAGAAACAAAAATTAAAATAATAGATTTAGATAAATTTAGACTCATTAAAAGAATACCTTGTTGAAAATATTGCGTTTAGTTTAGTCATGAATACAACTGAGAATAAAATGCTCGTATCATCTGCACGTTTAAAACCCGCTTAAAACCTCTTCTAAAACCTAAAAAAATGGTTTTGCTTAGGTTTCGCGATGAGCTCTTTCATATGGCTGCACCAAAAACATTTTTTGTTTCGAAAAGTTTTTCAGCTTGAAAACCATGTCGTTGAAAAATCGGGTCTCTGAACTCAAATTGGGCCCAAACCAATGTGATATTCGGATTCAGCACACTCGATTATCTATTGTCCACTAAGCTTCAAGCCAAAAGCGCTTAAACAGTTGGAGTACTTCCCTCGTGGGTTCAAGGTGCGATATAAATAGTTGCAAGATATTTGAATAGAACCAATATCAACTTGTGAACCAGTCATCGGTTAGGTGATCGCTAGTATTGTTATGCATGATCTTTTTTTTTTTTTGCATCTATGGACAAACGCATCTCGCACTGTGGAACTTAAAAGAAGCCAACTATTTCAATAAAGTAGGCATGGAGACCATTCGTTCTATATGTGATCATTGGTATTGCAGGCGATTATCGTACTAGCGACCTGAGATAGGTTCAGGTTGCGCTGTCGGACGAAGCAAGATATTTGAATAGAATCAACGTGTGAATCATTCGTCGATTGGATGATCGTCACTAGCGTTTATGATGATACTACCATGTATGTGTGAACGCCTCTCCCGATCTCTCTGTGTTAGGCTTAAGTCGTCGAAAGGATTTGAATGAAGA